CTATGGAATTCCTCTGTCTGAAGATCTCAAAACAGCCCCACGCCTGCTCTCAGCCAAAACTCTCCTCAAAACGTTTTTATTTAAGAAGTACTTTCCTAGACTCTCACCCAAATACCTTTTACTTGTAGCGCCATGAGCATACCAGCTGGCGTGGAGTTTGGCGCCTTACAAATTCACTCATTCTTATTATGTTTTACAGATATAAAGATGAAAATGCAGCAGAGAGCTCGAGGGTTCGGGTGATCCTGGCACAGTCAGGCTGGTAAGGCTCATCATCAGCTCAGGGCCCTCGCCCCCTCTGCACGCAGCCCAGACAGCGAATGGGACTTCTCCCAGGAAACACTGCCAAGTCGAACCCACCAAGACATTTCCGGAGAATATGAAGGCTCCCCAACACTGCAGCCTTTAGTCTGTCTCACAGTCCCTGAACCACATTATTTTCCCTACTGCCAAGCCTCTCTGCAGTACTAAAGCCCTAAATAAAGCAAGTCTATCTCTGGTCTCCCTAGGGCTCCTTTCAATATAAATGGGCTTGTTTGTTACTATCAAAAGTATATATATTCAGAGACTAAGCCTTAGTCTATGCAGCCTTCTGCATTACCCAGAGTGTCAGAAGGGCTGTGCTCCCAGTGGAGAACCCGGCACTCTCCTGATCTGCGCCAAGAGTTCAGGAGGTACCAAACCAAGGGCACCGAGAACAATGGGGAGCCTGATGACAGTGTACTTGGGATGCAAGCGAGACATTTCAAAGGCGAGGTCCGCATATTTATCATGCTTTTCCTGAATCTTGCCAATTACATTGCTGTAAAAAGGGACAGAAAAGTCAATGATATAAATAAATTCATTAGCTTTATCAAAAAGGACAAGATCAGGTTTTTTGGCTGGAATTCTTCTGAGGCTGTATATAGGCCCATCCACAGAAGTTTAAAACATCATTTTCCATGACGCCCTGGGCATGTTCAGGGTCGTACCATGGATGGACCTCGGAGTCAGAGCCAAAGGCATGGCAGAGACGGTAATAAAAGCAGCGAGCCATGCTATCATGTCTTTTAAGATATGCTGTTTGTGCCAAGGAAGGGCATCCACTGACAAGGTGTTGGACAGTCTCTGTGAATTTATTGCACAATCGACATTTCATATTGATATTTTCTTTAAGAATCACACATTGGCGATTACGAGTGAGAAGTGACTGGTCCTGAGCAACAAAAGAAAGCCCCTCAGTTTCACATTTAAGACCAGCCGACTTCATCCAGGCGAAGGAGTCGGTGGGATTGCTATTCTGTTCACACACTTCATGTACACACGATGCAATGGTTTCTCAGAAAGCTTCTCCACAAATGATTGACTCTTGGCAGACTTGGTGAAGGACTTCACCTGGTGTACTCCCATCGCTGTACCGTCCAGCAGTACATTGACATCAACAAAATCAACCTCAAACTTCAGATTCTGTCCAACAACCTTGGCACGCTTAAAAATAGCTATGGAATTCTTTGCTTTCATCATGAGTCTTGACATGCATTACCAGAGGATCATCCGACAAAATAAATATGTGCAAATGTACACAATAAAATTCTATCATGAAGAGCCTCGACATTAATCAAACCCCGACCTCCAGAATTAATTGGCATGTATAAACAATTGAGAGAGGAACGAGGGTGGTGGGCTCTGTTATCAGACATGATCCTTCTGGTCAGGCGGTCAAGACTCTGGATGTCTTGTTTTGTCCAATCAACTACTCCAAAGGAATGGGAGAGGACTGGCACAGCAAAAGTATTGGTGGCTTTGACCTTGTTTCGAGCATTTAGCTTTGAGCTCCAGATTTTCTTTGAGTGAGAATTGTACTCGGCTCGAAGTTTTGTTTGAATTTGGGCACTCTGGAGCTTGTCTCGAACTTGCATTCCAAGATAGGTGCAGGCCTGATCTTCCACAAGATGCTCAATAACTCCTCCTCTCTGTATCTTGACCGATCCGCCTTGCCACGTTTCAAATGCAGAGTATTACATTTGTCGAGTCCAAATGTCAAGCCAATATCTTTAGAAAGGGACTCGACAAGGAGAACCTGCTCTTTCAAATTATTATTATTATTAAAATGTGTAAAAATTAAAGATAAAAATGATTTTCACAATAGTGTGAAACAGGTATACGAAATAGGTGATCCATAGCCAACAAAGCTCCTACGTTATACATTTAACGATATATTATTTCCAATACATTTTTATCTGTTCTTTCAATATTCTTGATACATAATTTATTAGGATTTGTAAATTTAAATTGAGTTATTTTTTTTGAAAAAATTAAAATGGCCAAAATCCGCGAGGCTTCTTGTTTTTAATTTTCAAAGAAATGATAAAAAAAATGTTAGATCATGGGATGATCTCATACTTATTTTACTGATGTAGTCTATATGTTGGCCATTTTGAAAAATGTCCGTCAATTTTCCTATTTTCGGGTAGTTTTGATATAAACTGACTTCCGTAGACCTAAGTGTTAAAGATGTAGATATAAAAACAGCTATAACTTTCCTACGATTTGACACATGATTTGTGAGGATTGGAGAATGTACAAAATAAGAGACGAAATGAAAGGGCTCTCTCATTTCCCTGACATGTAAAACCACAGGTGCGTCATGTATTTCTCTGACATACAGAACCAAAGATGCATCATGTACTTACCTGACATGCACAACCAAACGTGCATCATGTATTTATCTAACATGTACAACCAAAGGTGAATAATGTAATTACCTGACATGCACGACCAAAGGTGCATCATGTATTTACCTGACATGCACGACCAAAGGTGCATCATGTATTTACCTTACATGCACAACCAAAGGTGCATCATGTAATTACCTGACATGCACAACTAAAGGGGCATCATGTAATTACCTAACATGCACGACCAAAGATGCATCAAGTATTTACCTGACATGCACAACCAAAGGTGCATCACGTATTTACCTGACATACACAACCAAAGGTACATCATGTACTTACCTGACATACGCAACCAAAGGTGCATCGAGTATTTACCTAACATGCACAACTAAATCTGCATCATGTAATTACCTGACATGCACAACCAAAGGTGCATCAAGTATTTTCCTGACCTGCACAACTAAAGGTGCATCATGTAATTACCTGACATGCACGAGCAAAGGTGCATCATGTAATTCCCTGACATGCACAACTAAAGGGGCATCATGTTCTTACCTGACATGCGGAAGTAAAGGTGCATCATGTACTTACGTGACATGCAGAACCAAAGGTGCACCAAGTATTTACCTGATATGCACAACCAAAGGCGCATCACGTATTTACCTGAGATGCACAACCAAAGGTGCATCAAATATTTACCTGACATGCACAACCAAAGGCGCATCAAATATTTACCTGACATGCACAACCAAAGGTGTATCATGTATTTACCTTACATGCACAACCAAATGTGCATCATGTAATTTCCTGACATGCACGACCAAAGGTGCATCATGTAATTACCTGACATGCACAACTAAAGGGCATCATGTTCTTACCTGACATGCACAAGAACCAAAGGTGCATGCAATATTTACCTGACATGCACAACCAAAGGTGCATGAAATATTTACCTTACATGCACAACCAAAGGTGCATCATGTAATTACCTAACATGCACGACCAAAGGTGCATCAAGTATTTACCTGACATGCAAAACCAAAGGTGCATCACGTATTTACCTGACATACACAACCAAAGGTGCATCATGTACTTAACTGACATACACAACCAAAGGTGCATCGAGTATTTACCTAACATGCACAACTAAATCTGCATCATGTAATTACCTGACATGCACAACCAAAGGTGCATCAAGTATTTTCCTGACCTGCACAACTAAAGGTGCATCATGTAATTACCTGACATGCACGACCAAAGGTGCATCATGTAATTCCCTGACATGCACAACTTAAGGGGCATCATGTTCTTACCTGACATGCGGAAGTAAAGGTGCATCACGTATTTACCTGAGATGCACAACCAAAGGTGCATCAAATATTTACCTGACATGCACAACCAAAGGCGCATCAAATATTTACCTGACATGCACAACCAAAGGTGTATCATGTATTTACCTTACATGCACAACCAAAGGTGTATCATGTAATTTCCTGACATGCACGACCAAAGGTGCATCATGTAATTACCTGACATGCACAACTAAAGGGGCATCATGTTCTTACCTGACATGCACAACCAAAGGTGCATGAAATATTTACCTGACATGCACAACCAAAGGTGCATCATGTAATTACCTGACATGCACAACCAAAGGTGTATCATGTAATTACCTAAATGTACAAACAAAGGTGCATCATGTTTTTTACCTGACATGTACAACCAAAGGGTGCATCAAGTAATTACCTAAACGCACAACCAAGGTGCATCATGCATTTACCTGACATGCATAACCAAAGGTGCATCATGTTTTTACCTGAGATGTACAAGCAAAGGTGCATCATGTTTTTACCTGAGATGCACGACCAAAGGTGCATCATGTAATTACCTGACATGCAAAATTAGTACATTCAAATTTGCATCATGTAGTTATCTAACATGTATAACCAAAGGTGCATCATGTATTCATTTAAGTAATGTACACAGGTGTCCCACAGTGGCAGCCAAACACGGTTGGTATGTATTGCTTAAAGTATTAAACCTGATCTTTATGCAGTGTTTGCTCCTGGTGCAGTCAGTCAGGATCCGTGGTGTATTACTCGGGGCTAGTACCTGATAAACATTCAGTAAACAGTGCCGAGATGGTATCATATTAACAGATAGGACGAGATTGACTAGCGGACCTGATTTTTCAGGATGTATTCCAACGTGACGTGCATTACTTATGTAAAAATATAAGGAGATAAAATTGATATTTCGAGAGTAAAATATGAATGAATCATTGATTTAAAAAATACTTACATTGCCAGGATATATAAAGCCAACAGACCGTCACTGCCCGGCAGACGGGACGCAGGGAGATCCAAGGTAGGTTGCTTATCTTTGTCTCTTATATATCTCACATGACAGAAACGTGGGTCATCCGGCCATCGCAAACTGATGATCAGTTCGCCATTTTATCAACAAATGACATTAATTCACAGGTTTTGGGGAGATAATCAATACAAATGTCCATGTCTGATCCCTCTTGTGAATGGGCGAGTTCTAATTTTTATAATTTTCTTATAGGTAGACCAGAGCTATGTCCCCAACGTCTAGAAAGGGCATATTATAGATTTATGCTATGTATTTCCTGATAGTTGATGGATATATTATAGATTTATGTTATGTATTTCCCGATAGTTCATGGGCATATTATAGATTTATGTTATGTGTTTCCCGATAGTTCATGGGCATATTGTAGATTTATGTTATGTGTTTCCCGATAGTCCATGGGCATATTATAGATTTATGTTATGTGTTTCCCGATAGTTCATGGGCATATTATAGATTTATGTTATGTGTTTCCCGATAGTTCATGGGCATATTATAGATTTATGTTATGTGTTTCCCGATAGTTCATGGGCATATTATAGATTTATGTTATGTGTTTCCCGATAGTTCATGGGCATATTATAGATTTATGTTATGTGTTTCCCGATAGTTCATGGGCATATCATAGATTTATGCTATGTATTTCCCGATAGTTCATGGATATATTATAGATTTATGTTATGTGTTTCCCGATAGTTCATGGGCATATTATAGATTTATGCTATGTATTTCCCGATAGTTCATGGATATATTATAGATTTATGTTATGTATTTCCTGATAGTTCATGGGCATATTATAGATTTATGCTATGTATTTCCTGATAGTTCATGGATATATTATAGATTGATGTTATGTGTTTCCCGATAGTTCATGGGCATATTATAGATTTATGTTATGTGTTTCCCGATAGTTCATGGGCATATTATAGATTTATGTTATGTGTTTCCCGATAGTTCATGGGCATATTATAGATTTATGTTATGTGTTTCCCAATAGTTCATGGGCATATTATAGATTTATGTTATGTGTTTCCCGATAGTTCATGGGCATATTATAGATTTATGTTATGTGTTTCCCGATAGTTCATGGGCATATTATAGATTTATGTTATGTGTTTCCCGATAGTTCATGGGCATATTATACATTTATGTTATTTGTTTCCTGATAGTTCATGGATATATTATAGATTTATGTTATGTGTTTCCCGATAGTTCATGGGCATATTATACATTTATGTTATGTGTTTCCTGATTGTTCATGGGCATATTATAGATTTATGCTATGTGTTTCCTTATAGTTCATGGGCATATTATAGATTTATGCTATGTATTTCCTGATAGTTCATGGGCATATTATAGATTTATGCTATGTATTTCCTGATAGTTGATGGACATATTATAGATTTATGCTATGTATTTCCTGATAGTTCATGGATATATTATAGATTTATGTTATGTGTTTCCCGATAGTTCATGGGCATATTATAGATTTATGTTATGTGTTTCCCGATAGTTCATGGGCATATTATAGATTTATGTTATGTGTTTCCCGATAGTTCATGGGCATATTATACATTTATGTTATGTGTTTCCCGATAGTTCATGGGCATATTATAGATTTATGTTATGTGTTTCCCGATAGTTCATGGGCATATTATAGATTTATGTTATGTGTTTCCCGATAGTTCATGGGCATATTATAGATTTATGTTATGTGTTTCCCGATAGTTCATGGGCATATTATAGATATATGTTATGTGTTTCCCGATAGTTCATGGGCATATCATAGATTTATCCTATGTATTTCCTGATAGTTGATGGATATATTATAGATTTATGTTATGTATTTCCCCGATAGTTCATGGGCATATTATAGATTTATGCTATGTATTTCCCGATAGTTCATGGATATGTTATAGATTTATGTTATGTATTTCCTGATAGTTCATGGGCATATTATAGATTTATGCTATGTATTTCCTGATAGTTCATGGATATATTATAGATTTATGTTATGTGTTTCCCGATAGTTCATGGGCATATTATAGATTTATGTTATGTGTTTCCCGATAGTTCATGGGCATATTATAGATTTATGTTATGTGTTTCCCGATAGTTCATGGGCATATTATAGATTTATGTTATGTGTTTCCCGATAGTTCATGGGCATATTATAGATTTATGTTATGTGTTTCCGATAGTTCATGGGCATATTATAGATTTATGTTATGTGTTTCCCGATAGTTCATGGGCATATTATAGATTTATGTTATGTGTTTCCCGATAGTTCATGGGCATATTATACATTTATGTTATTTGTTTCCTGATAGTTCATGGATATATTATAGATTTATGTTATGTGTTTCCCGATAGTTCATGGGCATATTATAGATTTATGTTATGTGTTTCCCGATAGTTCATGGGCATATAATAGATTTATGTTATGTGTTTCCCGATAGTTCATGGGCATATTATAGATTTATGTTATGTGTTTCCCGATAGTTCATGGGCATATTATAGATTTATGTTATGTGTTTCCTGATAGTTCATGGGCATATTATAGATTTATGTTATGTGTTTCCTGTTAGTTCATGGGCATATTATAGATTTATGCTATGTGTTTCCTGATAGTTCTTGGACATATTATAGATTTATGTTATGTCTTTCCCGATAGTTCATGGGTATAGTTATAGATTTATGTTATGTGTTTCCCGATAGTTCATGGGCATATTATAGATTTATGTTATGTGTTTCCCGATAGTTCATGGGCATATGATAGATTTATGCTATGTATTTCCTGATAGTTCATGAATATATTATAGATTTATGCTATGTGTTTCCTTATAGTTGATGGGCGTATTATAGATTTATGCTATGTATTTCCCGATAGTTCATGGATATATTATAGATTTATGTTATGTGTTTCCCGATAGTTCATGGGCATATTATGGATTTATGCTATGTGTTTCCTTATAGTTCATGGGCATATTATAGATTTATGCTATGTATTTCCTGATAGTTCATGGATATATTATAGATTTATGTTATGTGTTTCCCGATAGTTCATGGGCATATTATAGATTTATGCTATGTATTTCCTGATGGTTCATGGGCATATTATAGATTTATGTTATGTGTTTCCCGATAGTTCATGGGTATAGTTATAGATTTATGTTATGTGTTTCCCGATAGTTCATGGATACATTATAGATTTATGCCATATATTTCCTGATAGTTCATGGGCATATTATAGATTTATGTTATGTGTTCCCCGATAGTTCATGGGTATAGTTATAGATTAATGTTATGTCTTTCCCGATAGTTCATGGGCATATTATAGATTTATGCTATGTATTTCCTGATAGTTCATGGGTATATTATAGATTTATGCTATGTATTTCCTGATAGTTCATGGATATATTATAGATTTATGTTATGTATTTCCTGATAGTTCATGGGCATATTATAGATTTATGCTATGTATTTCCTGATAGTTCATGGATATATTATAGATTTATGTTATGTGTTTCCCGATAGTTCACGGGCATATTATAGGTTTATGTTATGTGTTTCCCGATAGTTCATGGGCATATTATAGATTTATGTTATGTGTTTCCCGATAGTTCATGGGCATATTATAGATTTATGTTATGTGTTTCCCGATAGTTCATGGGCATATTATAGATTTATGTTATGTGTTTCCCGATAGTTCATGGGCATATTATAGATTTATGTTATGTGTTTCCCGATAGTTCATGGGCATATTATAGATTTATGTTATGTGTTTCCCGATAGTTCATGGGCATATTATACATTTATGCTATTTGTTTCCTGATAGTTCATGGATATATTATAGATTTATGTTATGTGTTTCCCGATAGTTCATGGGCATATTATAGATTTATGTTATGTGTTTCCCGATAGTTCATGGGCATATTATACATTTATGTTATTTGTTTCCTGATAGTTCATGGATATATTATAGATTTATGTTATGTGTTTCCCGATAGTTCATGGATATATTATAGATTTATGTTATGTGTTTCCTTATAGTTCATGGGCATATTATAGATTTATGTTATGTGTTTCCCGATAGTTCATGGGCATATTATAGATTTATGTTATGTCTTTCCCGATAGTTCATGGGCATATTATAGATTTATGCTATGTGTTTCCTGATAGTTCTTGGACATATTATAGATTTATGCTATGTATTTCCTGATAGTTCATGGGCATATTATAGATTTATGCTATGTATTTCCTGATAGTTCATGGATATATTATAGATTTATGCTATGTGTTTCCTTATAGTTCATGGGCATATTATAGATTTATGTTATGTGTTTCCTGATAGTTCATGGGCATATTATAGATTTATGTTATGTATTTCCTGATAGTTCATGGGCATATTATAGATTTATGCTATGTATTTCCTGATAGTTCATGGATATATTATAGATTTATGCTATGTGTTTCCTTATAGTTCATGGGCATATTATAGATTTATGTTATGTGTTTCCTGATAGTTCATGGGCATATTATAGATTTATGTTATGTGTTTCCTGATAGTTCATGGGCATATTATAGATATATGCTATGTGTTTCCTGATAGTTCATGTGCATATTATAGATTTATGCTATGTATTTCCTGATAGTTCATGGGCATATTATAGATTTATGTTATGTATTTCCTGATAGTTGATGGACATATTATAGATTTATGCTATGTATTTCCTGATAGTTCATAGGCATATTATAGATTTATGCTATGTATTTCCTGATAGTTCATGGGTATAGTTATAGATTTATGTTATGTGTTTCCCGATAGTTCATGGGCATATTATAGATTTATGTTATGTATTTCCCGATAGTTCATGGGCATATTATAGATTTATGTTATGTGTTTCCCGATAGTTCATGGGCATATTATAGATTTATGTTATGTGTTTCCCGATAGTTCATGGGCATATTATACATTTATGTTATGTGTTTCCCGATAGTTCATGGGCATATTATAGATTTATGTTATGTGTTCCCCGATAGTTCATGGGTATAGTTATAGAGTAATGTTATGTCTTTCCCGATAGTTCATGGATATATTATAGATTTATGCTATGTATTTCCTGATAGTTCATGGGCATATTATAGATTTATGTTATGTGTTTCCCGATAGTTCATGGATATAGTTATAGATTTATGTTATGTCTTTCCCGATAGTTCATGGATATAGTTATAGATTTATGTTATGTATTTCCCGATAGTTCATGGGCATATTATAGATTTATGTTATGTATTTCTCTATAGTTCTTGAGCATATTATAGATTTATGTTATGTGTTCCCCGATAGTTCTTGGGTATAGTTATAGATTTATGTTATGTCTTTCCCGATAGTTCATGGATATATTATAGATTTATGCTATGTATTTCCTGATAGTTCATGGGCATATTATAGATTTATGTTATGTGTTTCCCGATAGTTCATGGATATAGTTATAGATTTATGTTATGTCTTTCCCGATAGTTCATGGATATAGTTATAGATTTATGTTATGTATTTCCCGATAGTTCATGGGCATATTATAGATTTATGTTATGTATTTCTCGATAGTTCTTGAGCATATTATAGATTTACATTATTTATCTCTACAAGAAATTTTGCGATCGATTGATTTTGAACGCTGCACTATCCCACTACTATCCCACATGACAAACTTAAGGAAAACATTCAGTCCTTGATCCATGGGGCATTTGTACACAAACGTGGTGAACACAGATATACAAATATATCTATCTTCAGAGGTTCAGGACAATTTGTCAAAAATGAAGCAAATGTTGTTTGAGGTTTACCGAGAATACAATATGTGAAATGCTTTCTCATTGATACAATTGGGAGGTAAAACATTTCGCTAAGACATAGGCATCCTCATCGGCACCAACTGTGCTTCCCTCCTTGCTGATCTGTTTCTTTATGCATATGGATCAGAATTTCTGCTTGTGTTAGCAAAATCAAAACAAGGTAATTTGGCTAAGATGTTCATCTTAAACTTCAGGTATATCGATGATTTGATATCGTTCAATAACCATCAAATAGCCAATCCCCTTACACTAAGTCTTATTAACCCACCTGAGCTTGAATTTCAAGGCGACAATTGATATCACCTCACGTCTTTCTATTTAGATCACTGCAGATTCTGAGGGACAACAAACTCTCCACCAAGCTGTATGATAAAAGGAATGATTTCAACTTTCCTATAGTCAACTTTCTTTTCATGTCGAGAAATATTCCAACAGCTCAAGCCTTTGGTGTTTACATTCGACAATTGTTTAGATTCAATCGAGCATACTTCTTTTACCAAGATTTCAAAGAGCGATACCGTGATGACTGTATATATCTGCATTGACGTCTTGTTTCCAGATGACGAGATACATCTCAGGACGGGCGCTTGGTCTCATTGTGCTTGTTACATTCTGCTGTTCCATCAACGCAAGCAGTAGGTGGCTAAGTCCGAGTGATGTTTCTTGATGTCATAAGGTTGTGTTATATAACCAGACATGAGTATAGCTAGATATCACATGGTTGTGTTATATAACCAGACATGAGTATAGCTAGACAACATAAGGTTGTGTTATATAACCAGACATGAGTATAGCTAGATATCACATGGTTGTGTTATATAACCAGACATGAGTATAGCTAGATATCGCATGGTTTAGTTATATAACCAGACATGAGTATAGCTAGACAACATAAGGTTGTGTTATATAACCAGACATGATGATAGCTAGATATCATATGGTTGTGCTATATAACTAGACATGAGTATAACTAGATAGCATATGGTCGTGTTGTATAACCATAAACTAGGATAGCTAGATATCATATGGTTGTGTTATATAAATATATAACTAGACATGAGTATAGCTTGATATCATATGGTTGTGTGATATAACTAGACGAGTATAATTAAAGTATTGGCGGAAATAGAAAAACAATGTTTTTAGGCTGTGACTCTGTATCCCTAAAATTTCCAGAATGGCAAATAGCATATTCTGTGGAATGTGTTATAGGATATCCAGAAAAGCATGTTTACTCGTACTTTTTGGGTTGAGTCCCATCCGGGATTCGAACCCACACCCTCAGAGTCAGGCACCTCATCGCCAGCTCAGAAAGTCAGACGCCTAGACCGCTCAGCCACCGCGGCTTCCACAAAGACGAAAGTCGGACAACTGGTAGTCTAGACGGCGGACTTTGTGTACCCCTCTGATAAGTGTTATTTGGCACGGCTCCCACGGCCGAAAGCTATGAAATACACAATGCCATTTTGGAAAGTGGTCAAGTGTAACGTATGTTATATTTGGGATTACACTTTCTCAGTAATGGCCACTTTCGAAAAAAACCGCACTGCTTATTTCTGCACTAATCTCTCCTCAGTAAAGTCCTTTTTCTACGTTTCCTATCTCTCTACCATTGAGATTGTAGTAAGGCCGAACTTAGTTTAACGGATATTTCACACTCGATAAACACATACTCATGATGTAGTCGATAAACACATACTCCTGATGTAGTCGATAAACACATACTCATGATGTAGTCGATAAACACATAGTCATGATGTAGTCGATAAACACATACTCCTGATGTAGTCGATAAGCACATACTCCTGATGTAGTCGATAAACACTTACTCATGATGTAGTCGATAAACACATACTCATGATGTAGTCGATAAACACATACTCATGATGTAGTCGATAAACACATACTCATGATGTAGTCGATAAACACATACTCCTGATGTAGTCGATAAGCACATACTCCTGATGTAGTCGATAAACACTTACTCATGATGTAGTCGATAAACACATAGTCATGATGTAGTCGATAAACACTTACTCATGATGTCAGTCGATAAACACATACTCATGATGTAGTCGATAAACATTACTCATGATGTAGTCGATAAACACTTACTCACTTTTGTATAAACACATATTCATGATGTTGTCGATTAACACATAGTCATGATGTGGTCGATAAACATAGTCATGATGTAGTCGATAAACATATACTCATGATGTAGTCGATAAACACTTGCTCATGATGTAGTCGATAAACACATAGTCATGATGTTGTCGATAAACACATATTCATGATGTTGTCGATTAACACATAGTCATGATGTGGTCGATAAACACATAGTCATGATGTGGTCGATAAACACTTACTCATGATGTTGTCGATAAACACATACTCATAATGTAGTCGATAAACACTTACTCATAATGTAGGTTGAAACGTTCAGGTGAATGATTTAGGCATATATTTCCTATTTATGTTTGTAGTGAATGTATGCGTTGTTACAGACTACACATGTGTGTTTTGAATGCGTCACCAGTTACAGATTCCACGTGTGCTTGTGGTGACGGAGGATTTGTTACAGACTCCTGTATGTCGTGACTTCTCACAGGCTTTACATCTGTGTGTGGCGACTGTGTCCTTTGTTACAGGCTTCACATCTGTGTGTGGCGACTGCGTGTACAAGGGAGGAGCCGGCTTCGTGAAGCACCCAACTATCTGCGATGCCTTTTACGAATGTGACAACACCACCGGAAAGTACACCCTCCTGCGTTGTCCATCGGGGATGACCTGGAACCACGATATCTGGTCCTGTGTAGTTGACCAGTCATGTACCTACCCTAGTAAGTCGTTATTAAGATTCTGTCAAAGTTTATGTGTACACCTTTATATCACCTTCGCCAATTTGTACATTTCACTCTTGCGTTAACACCCCACTGTAACACCTGTACACACAGGTATAGTAAGTATATGCAAGTGTAGAATATCTTCACATACGCTATTCAAGCTCCTTGTGCCTTAATACATCTACAAACAAGGCTCTGCACCTTAACCAGACTGCATGCAATGAAGACCGCCTTTTAGAATGCAAAGCAAACAACATGGATGTATATAAAATACGTGTTACACTTGTTGTTTCAGCATCGCCCACTACCACACCAAGTAAGTAACGTCTCACCGCTCGTCTTTACGGCAACACATCATACATCATTCAATACAGATTACAGAAATATGTAATAACTTATACATTATCAGCGTTACTATATACAATACTGGAACAAGAAGTAGTCACCGATTGTCAGTAGGAAACGGTATATCTAGATGGATGAGTGTATCTAACGGCATATCTAGATGGATCAGTGTATCTAACGGCATATATAGATGTATGAGTGTATCTAACGGCATATCTAGATGGATGAGTGTATCTAACGGTATATCTAGATGTATGAGTGTATCTAACGGCATATCTAGATGGATGAGTGTATCTAACGGTATATCTAGATGGATGAGTGTATCTAACGGCATATCTAGATGGATGAGTGTATCTAACGGCATATCTAGATGGATCAGTGTATCTAACGGCATATCTAGATGGATCAGTGTATCTAACGGCATATCTAGATGGATCAGTGTATCTAACGGTATATCTAGATGGATGAGTGTATCTAACGGTATATCTAGATGGATGAGTGTATCTAACGGTATATCTATGGATGAGTGTATCTAACGGTATATCTAGATGGATGAGTGTATCTAACGGCATATCTAGATGGATCAGTGTATCTAACGGCATATCTAGATGGATGAGTGTATCTAACGGCATATCTAGATGGATCAGTGTATCTAACGGTATATCTAGATGGATGAGTGTATCTAACGGTATATCTAGATGGATGAGTGTATCTAACGGCATATCTAGATGGATGAGTGTATCTAACGGCATATCTAGATGGATGAGTGTATCTAACGGCATGTCTAGATGGATGAGTGTATCTAACGGCATATCTAGATTGATGAGTGTATCTAACGGCATATCTACATGGATCAGTGTATCTAACGGTATATCTAGATGGATGAGTGTATCTAACGGCATATCTAGATGGATGAGTGTATCTAACGGTATAAATAGATGTATGAGTGTATCTAACGGCATATCTAGATGGATCAGTGTATCTAACGGCATATCTAGATGGATGAGTGTATCTAACGGCATATCTAGATGTATGAGTGTATCTAACGGTATATCTAGATGGATGAGTGTATCTAACGGCATATCTAGATGGATGAGTGTATCTAACGGCATATCTAGATGGATCAGTGTATCTAACGGCATATCTAGATGGATCAGTGTATCCAACGGCATATCTAGATTTATTACCCACGTGGTCAACGTATGAGTAGTTGCATACTAATCTCGTACGTCACACGTGTGTCGTATCGCGTTGACCTGTGTCGTAACGACTTGACCTGAGATTCTAACGATTTGATTGTATAACCGATGACCTCTCAATTAGGTCACATTCTGACGTAACTATTTTTTCATTCATAACAAACACGTGAATTCATTCATTCTACAACTTAAATGCATTGTGGGAATGTAAACATCGAGAATGTTGCCGTGTCGCTGTTTAATTGCGAGTCGAGCTGAGACATTATATCCGTCGAAAAACATAAACGCAATGTTTCCACCAGTGATGTTAGCCGAATGAAGCAACTGCAAACCAAGAAACGGGAAGCTACGGAGTAGTTTACTGTAGGAGGCTGTTCGAAGCGATGACAACTGACATGCATCGTGACGTCGGTTACCAAGGCAGTGACGTCATTTTGGTGTGACGTCATGCAAATATTGTACTACTGAACAAAACTCTTCCGCAACCCCTTTATGAAACCTGTTTCGGTTTGAAACCAATATATTAACAAAAATACGCTATTTTGTCAATTTAATGCATGTAAGACGTGGGTAATAAATAAAATACCACACTCGGTATCATTACATACGAATTATACGAAACTCGTGGCCTTCCTATGTTATCTGACATCGCTTTCGCTCGGTCAGATACCATAGGAAGGACACTCGTTTCATATAATTCGTATGTAATGAGACCTCGTGTAGTATTCACTATGTATGAGTGTATCTAACGGCATATCTAGATTGATGAGTGTATCTAACGGTACATCTAGATGGATCAGTGTATCTAACGGTATATCCAGATGGATGAGTGAGTCTAACGGTATATCTAGATGGATGAGTGTATCTAACGATATATCTAGATGGGTGAGTGTATTTAACGGTATATCTACATGTATGAGTGAGTCTAACGGTATATCTAGAAGGATGAGTGTATCTAACGGTATATATAGATGGATCAGATGGATCAGTGTATCTAACGGTATATCTAGATGTGTGAGTGTATCTAACGGTATATCTAGAAGGATGTATCTAACGGTATATATAGATGTATGAGTGTATCTAACGGTATATCTAGATGGATGAGTGTATCTAACGGTATATATAGATGTATGAGTGTATCTAACGGTATATCTAGATGGATCAGTGTATCTATCGGTATATCTAGATGGATGAGTGTATCTAACGGTATATCTAGATGGATGAGTGAGTCTAACGGTATATATAGATGGATGAGGGAGTCTAACGGCATATCTAGATGGATGAGTGAGTCTAACGGCATATCCAGATGGATGAGTGAGTCTAACGGTATATCTAGATGGATGAGGGAGTCTAACGGCATATCTAGATGGATGAGGGAGTCTAACGGCATATCCAGATGGATGAGTGAGTCTAACGGTATATCTAGATGGATCAGTGTATCTAACGGCATATCTGTATGAGTCCACATAATCGGGAAGACTTCACATGATACTATATACAAATATGAAATAGATAATAAGTAATTCAAGACAAACTTTAAGCACCGGTTACATATGGACATAATAACTATCCAACCGACAACTTCACCTAGATAAAGTTGGCTGGTCTTAAAAGTGAAAAAGAAAACTTTCTTTCTCCTGCCCATTTACCAGTCACTTCCCAATTTATTTCGTACATCCTCATCTCTTGGCGTAGATCAGAAGAGTGCCCGCGTTTTCCACCAATGCTCTTCTGACTCTCTGGGTAATGAAGAAGGCAGTGTATGAGAGTCTCCATATTCTCAGGGAAGTCCTTCGTTGGTTCGACTTGGGAACGCGTCTCAAGAGAAGTCCCATTTGTTGTCTGGGCTGCGTGTAGAGGGGGCAAGGTTACCAGAACTGATGATAATCTGACTGTGCCAGAATAACCAGACCACTCTCTGCTGTATGTTTCTAAATCACACTTATATTTCTATGTTACCCCAAACTTGTATTTGTTCAACAGATCCGTGTCTTGTCAACAGTGTAGACACAGCCAACCCAGCTGGTTTCCTGGTGACAGCAAACGGAAATGTGTTCAACATGAACTGCGCACCAGGAACTCTCTACAACGCAACCAGCTGTAAATGTGACATAACCACAACCACCACCCGAGGCCCACGTAAGGGACTGATATACTCTCTACTATATATACTATTCAAAAAATAGAAACGCATAAGTGATTTTGAGAATATTGGATTCATGTAGCACTGACAAAAACAAAACAAGTGTAACTTATTTCTTTCCAAAACGTCATCTATGTGTGATTGTAAACGGCTTCAGTGCCAAAACGCGACAATTTTGAACTTTCCCCTTGTTTTAGAAGTGTTTGAAGAAATATTCGCAAACACGTCACCAAGAAAACATGAAAAGTAAAATGCAGAAGCGGAATCGGATGCGGTATCGATCACTATAAAAAGGCAAGCGTTGTGTTTAATTTTGTCATTCGTTTTTGCCTGGGAAAGTGGAAATCATCATGCCTCGTCTGAGTGCCGCCAATCAAAACATAACCATAGACAGCCTTGAACCTGGGGACTCGCAGTCTGCAGTTGCCCAACATTTCAACGTTCACCAGAGCACCATATCTCTCCTTCGGGATCCTTTTCTGCAGACCAATTCCGCCCAAGATAGCCCGAGAAGCGGCCGTCAGAGAGTGACCACCAAAGCTCAGGACCCATGTATCTGGGTTGTTCACTTGGGTCATCTAGACTGCACAGCGCATCCCTGGTTTGCGAAGAATTTCCGACGAAACTGTCAGGAATCGATTGCGTGGGGATTCGACCAAGAAGGCCAGTCGTCGCTACTGTTTTGATAGACTTCCATCGGCGCAATCGCTGTCGATGATGTAGAGTCCGGAATTGGAACCTTTGAAACTGGAGGCGATTCTGGTTCGGTGGTGAAATGAAAGTTTTGCACCTAGTTGCATTTGACAGGTCGACAGATTCGGTGGAGACAGTGTCATGGTGTGGGGCTCGATATCCAGCTCAGGGTAATTTGACAGCAAATCGGTACATCAACGAAGTCCTTGCGTCACATGCTTCCGATTATGAACCGACAGAGGGAGTTGTTGCAGCATGACAAGGCTACTTCACATACAGAACGCGTTACGGCCCGCTACCTTGCCAATTCCAACGTCAATGTCTTGCCATGACCTTCCCGATCAGCAGATCTAAACCCGACAGAAATTCTATGGGATGAACTCGATCGACGTGTACGTCAACGTCAAAACACGCCTCAGACACTTCCACAAGTGGCCAATACATTGCAGGAATAGTCGGGAAAAATTCCGCAAGAGCGACTTCGTCGACTTATCCAGTCTATGCCGAGACGGTACCGAGCAGCAATTGCTGCCAATGGTGGCCATACAAAGTACTGACTTTGACGCCATCTTGTGGACTCAAGTATACAGAAACACAACAATAAATGCTGCTGTTGTGTTAGCGATCTCTTTGTCTATAGACGTGTGAATTTTCACCTTACCAATGAAATTACAGGAAATAATTGCTCTTAAACTAACGCAATAATTTCTTCTAAAAATGGCGTATGTGTTTCGTTTTTTGCAAAGTGTATATATCAGCGGCAGTGCTCGTGTGAATCCCATCTAAACTTTTGCGTCATACGTATCTTGCGTCACATATGAAATAGTTAAAATGTAACATATATATAATCCTGTTTCCTGCTGTTGAAGGTGTCCTCTAATGATGAGCACTCTGTTCCATGAAGTGTATGTAATGTTTGACAGCCGCCTGCACGGAGGAGCTGTACCTTCCCTGCAATGTGGACATCAGCGACCACTCCGGCAACTGGCTTTGGGTGGCCAATACTAACGTCACTCTGGCCACTGTCCCGAGAAGGAGTTACAAGGCTTGCAGCTTTGATGGAAGTGCCGACCTCAGTGTCCCCTTTTTCAAGAACAACGATTTGGGGGACAACTGGACGATAAGGTTCAATTACAGATCTCAAACAGGTTCGACGGGCGTTCGCGTCCTTGTCAGCAACAGCGTGTGTAACTCCATTTCTCCGACCTTGGAGGTGACCCACGCTCAGGATAGAGTTTGTGTCAACATCGAAACCAATTCCAACAACTTTACGCTGTGCTCCGCCAATACAGTAAGCATGTCGTGGTGTTCTCGCTGTACGTTGTAGTAGTGTAGTGTAGTGTAGTGTAGTGTAGTGTAGTGTAGTGTAGTGTAGTGTAGCGTAGCGTAGTGTAGGGTAGCGGTAGGGTAGGGTAGGGTAGGGTAGGGTAGGGTGTAGGGTAGGGTAGGGTAGGGTAGGGTAGGGTAGGGTAGGGTAGGGTAGGGTAGGGTAGGGTAGCGTAGGGTAGGGTAGGGTAGGGTAGGGTAGGGTAGGGTAGGGTAGGGTAGGGTAGGGGCCACTTCAGCCATCGGATCATTCCGCGGCCATGGAGCATCAAGCTATGTCATCTGAGTCTCAATGAACATATCTGAGTGGCAATCACTGAGCCAATAGTCGTGCTGCTTAATGATGTAGTCATGGCGTCAATGTTTTAATATTGCATAGTGAAACAGTCATTGCGTCAATGTTTTAATATTGCATAGTGAAACAGTCATTGCGTCAATGTTTTAAAATCGCATAGTGAAACAGTCATTGCGTCAATGTTTTAATATTGCATCGTGAAACAGTCATTGCGTCAATGTTTTAAAATCGCATAGTGAAACAGTCATTGCGTCAATGTTTTAATATTGCATCGTGAAACAGTCATTGCGTCAATGTTTTAAAATCGCATATTGAAACATACTTGTCATATCTTCCTACGTAGGAAGATATGACAGGAGTAACTAACCACTGTGGGAAGAGAATGATGGTCTGCTTGAGTTACTAAATGGTTTCAGTCTTTGACAATATGCAGCCTTGTTCTGTCAGGGCATCCCGACACCAAACCTGCCCTTTTGCCGGTAACGGTGAAGGTTAACAAGGGAAAACTGATACTTGTTAACGGTCTACACTCCAACAGTATACCAATCAACGGTGAGAATACTTTCAACTTGTAAACTATAATGTAGCGTATTTGCTTGTAGCATAAACTTGTGTCGCATATACTTGCGTAGCGTTCTATTCGTAGTGTATACGTGGGTATCATGTACTTGTGTATATTTATGTAGAGTATACGTGGGTATCTTGTACTTGTGTATATTTATGCAGTGTTCTTGGGCAGTGTGTGCAAAGGTATTATATACTTAACATTTAATTACCAATACGAACTTCAAGTACAAATTGATGGCATTAAAGACTTGAACCTGCTATGTCTCGAACAAACTCTTTTACCCCTTGTTACGGAACTGATCTCTTTCAGGTAAAGTCAAGCTCACCAAGTGCCCTCTGACGATCGGGAAGGGATACAACAGAGTAAACTACGTGGGTTTGCTGTGGAATGTAAGTTTTCTCGTCACTGACAAGGTCATGTTTGTAACTGCAGCCATTATAGAAACTGGTTTGTTTGTTAACTGATCAGGTCGTTCCATCAGACTGCAGCCATTATAGAAACTGGTTTGTCTGTTAACTGATCAGATCGTACCATGAGACTGCAGCCATTATAGAAACTGGTTTGTTTGTTAATATAGAAACTGATCTGATCAGATCGTACCATCAGACTGCAGCCATTATAGAAACTGGTTTGTTTGTTAACTGATCAGATCGTACCATCAGACTGCAGCCATTATAGAAACTGGTTTGTTTGTTAACTGATCAGATCGTACCATCAGACTGCAGCCATTATAGAAACTGGTTTGTTTGTTAATTGTGATCAGTGATCTGGGTCGTACCATCAGACTGCAGCCATTATAGAAACTGGTTTGTTTGTTAACTGATCAGGTCGTACCATCAGACTGCAGCCATTATAGAAACTGGTTTGTTTGTTAACTGATCAGATCGTACCATCAGACTGCAGCCATTATAGAAACTGGTTTGTTTGTTAACTGATCAGATCGTACCATCAGACTGCAGCCATTATAGAAACTGGTTTGTTTGTTAACTGATCAGATCGTACCATCAGACTGCAGCCATTATAGAAACTGGTTTGTTTGTTAACTGATCAGGTCGTACCATCAGACTGCAGCCATTATAGAAACTGGTTTGTTTGTTAACTGATCAGGTCGTACCATCAGACTGCAGCCATTATAGAAACTGGTTTGTTTGTTAACTGATCAGATCGTACCATCAGACTGCAGCCATTATAGAAACTGGTTTGTTTGTTAACTGATCAGATCGTACCATCAGACTGCAGCCATTATAGAAACTGGTTTGTTTGTTAACTGATCAGGTCGTACCATCATGAGACTGCAGCCATTATAGAAACTGGTTTGTTTGTTAACTGATCAGATCGTACCATGCAGACTGCAGCCATCAGACTGCATTATAGAAACTGGTTTGTTTGTTAACTGATCAGATCGTACCATCAGACTGCAGCCATTATAGAAACTGGTTTGTTTGTTAACTGTGATCAGGTCGTACCATCAGACTGCAGCCATTATAGAAACTGGTTTGTTTGTTAACTGTGATCAGATCGTACCATCAGACTGCAGCCATTATAGAAACTGGTTTGTTTGTTAACTGATCAGGTCGTACCATCAGACTGCAGCCATTATAGAAACTGGTTTGTTTGTTAACTGATCAGGTCGTACCATCAGACTGCAGCCATTATAGAAACTGGTTTGTTTGTTAACTGTGATCAGATCGTACCATCAGACTGCAGCCATTATAGAAACTGGTTTGTTTGTTAACTGTGATCAGATCGTACCATCAGACTGCAGCCATTATAGAAACTGGTTTGTTTGTTAACTGTGATCAGATCGTACCATCAGACTGCAGCCATTATAGAAACTGGTTTGTTTGTTAACTGTGATCAGGTCGTACCATCAGACTGCAGCCATTATAGAAACTGGTTTGTTTGTTAACTGTGATCAGATCGTACCATCAGACTGCAGCCATTATAGAAACTGGTTTGCAGCCATTTGAAACTGGTTTGTTTGTTAACTGTGATTTCAGACTCGTACATTATATGAGACTGATCAGCCATTATAGAAACTGGTTTGTTTGTTAACTGTGATCAGATCGTACCATGAGACTGCAGCCATTATAGAAACTGGTTTGTTTGTTAACTGTGATCAGATCGTACCATGAGACTGCAGCCATTATAGAAACTGGTTTGTTTGTTAACTGTGATCAGCCATCTGGTACCATGAGACTCGCAGCCATTATAGAAACTGGTTTGTTTGTTAACTGTGATCAGATCGTACCATCAGACTGCAGCCATTATAGAAACTGGTTTGTTTGTTAACTGATCAGATCGTACCATGAGACTGCAGCCATTATAGAAACTGGTTTGTTTGTTAACTGTGATCAGATCGTACCATGAGACTGCAGCCATTATAGAAACTTGTTTGTTTGTTAACTGTGATCAGATCGTACCATCAGACTGCAGCCAAGCAGTGATAGTTTCCTCCCTGTGTCATGACAGTCACGTGATGCACTTGTTTCAGCTTCAGGTCTGGAAATGTAACCCTGATAGTTTCACCAATGGGCAACAGCTGACTCCAGCCACACCCCTGCCGTGACAGTGTACTCGACCTGACCCCAGATCTTCAAGGAAGCCCCACCTTCACAGGGCTGTACACCATAGCAACCAGATAACCCAATAAACGCCTTCAAGCATCCACTGCCTCGTGTTTTAGTTGCGAACATTCCACTTAGATCACTGTTTATGAACGTTGGAACCCAAAATAGTAACCTAATTTATTTCAGAAGAGATTTTCTTGTTATCACTGAAACGGTTTTGTCGAGACAATTAGGCCTCTTATTTCTGTGTAAGGTTTCTCCAAACCAGTAACTCCATGGAACCAGGAAAAGTATCGCCTATTCCTGACCTGAAGCCTTACAAGCTGACTATCCGCAGAAACACGATCCTTTTGGTGTAAGAAAATAACCTGTAGAAAATATAAGAATAGATCACCGGAAATCACTGATGACACCAGGTGTTCGGGAAAAGGTAAGCGTGACACTCCCTACCGGCAACACTTGCCCCTCCCTACCGGCAACACTTGCCGCTCTCAAGATTTGCCTAGGAATTAAGTACATACTTCAAGCAGCACAGCCTGTAATACTCTCAGAAGAGATCACCACCATCAGGTTCTTTTATTCACACAACATCATTGTCAGGTCATAGAAAGCTACGCCTTACTGTGTAGTAAAAAAGAATGTTTATGAAAGATGACAATGTTACAAGACTGTAGAAGATGGCAGTGGCGCAAACGTCATTTACCTCCTGACCTCTCCCAGCAGCTCCTAGCTTTGGTGTCAACAACTTAAAGTTTTCAGTTACAATCGAACATACTCATTGAACTTTTGCTCAGAGTTGTTGATAAAATATGTCCCGTGCTAGAGGGCGTTACTTAACCTCGAACGTTGATGTCTATTTTACATGACAAGAAAACCCGAATGGTACAGGTCACGTTGAACTTTAGGAAGCGGACGTATAATATTGATAGGGGACATGTATAAAAAAATATATTGTTGGAGGTATTGAGATTATATAATTATTAGCGACTCCACAGATAAATGATTCACGCCCCAGAGATCGACCGATAGAAATACGAAAAACGTTTGTTTACAATGATTTCAAAGTGTGTCTGTGTTATTCTACTTTCTGACTGGCTAACGTGTAATCACAATTGAATGTTATTTTCGCCAACTCCAGGAACTCGCTTGGGACGGGACTACTTCAAAGCGGGTTGCTTCCTGGTGACCTTTACCTTGGCAAGAGAACGTTCAAGAATGTATTCGAAAAAAACCCAGAACTTTGTTCGGGAAGTGTTTGCTGTTAAACTTGAGATATTCAGCACGGCTGTTTTCTGATAGGTTGACTAATGCATGCACTATGAACTACACATGTGGCAACTCATTTGTGTTTATTGCTGTATTGCCTTTACAGGAGATACTTGAATCAGACAATGCCGAAAACTTTATGTGTAGACAGCTTTGGCTATTATTTTCAGTCCTTGAATTTCACAATCAAACGCGCGTGGATTCCTCTGAATAAACCGGATCCCATTCACGTCTGTACTGGCAATAACATCACATTCACGTCTGTACTGACAATAACATCACATTCACGTCTGTACTGGCAATAACATCACATTCATGTCTGTACTGGCAAGAACATCACATTCACGTCTATACTGGCAAGAACATAACATTCACGTCTTTACTGGCAAGAACATCACATTCACGTCTATACTGGCAAGAACATAACATTCACGTCTTTACTGGCAAGAACATAACATTCACGTCTTTACTGGCAAGAACATAACATTCACGTCTGTACTGGCAATAACATCAAATTCACGTCTGTACTGGCAATAACATCACATTCACGTCTGTACTGACAATAACATCAAATTCACGTCTGTACTGGCAATAACATCACATTCACGTCTGTACTGACAATAACATCACATTCACGTCTGTACTGGCAAGAACATCACATTCACGTCTGTCCTGGCAATAACATCACATTCACGTCTGTACTGGCAAGAACATAACATTCACGTCTGTACTGGCAATAATATCACATACTACTGCAGTCCGTTTGGCTCAAAAGCGACAGATGAATTGCAATCTAACTCGAAAACTAATATCATACTCATTGAAACACGGGAGGTGTGCAAAGAGAGGAACAGCCAGGTGTACGAGAAGCACGTGCACAAGTGCCGACAAAGGTATAAATTCATTTACCTGTGCCGTCTCCATCCAGAGGTCACAGACATGACGCCAAGGCCCATCCCTCGAGAAAGAATACCTCCCAAGGCCACCCCTGCAACCGCTCTTGTTTCACCTCCAAAAAAGAAGCAGAAGAAGGCGGCGCCCACCAAGGCATCCATCAAGGCACCACCCAACAAGGCACACCTACCAAGGCAACCACCAAGGCACCACCCAACAAGGCACACCTACCAAGGCAGCCACCAAGGCACCACCCAACAAGGCACACCTACCAAGGCATCCATCAAGGCACCACCCAACAAGGCACACCTACCAAGGCATCCATCAAGGCACCACCCAACAAGGCACACCTACCAAGGCAACCACCAAGGCACCACCCAACAAGGCACGACTACCAAGGCATCCACCAAGGCACCACCCAACAAGGCACACCTACCTAGGCAACCACCAAGGCACCACCCAACAAGGCACACCTACCAAGGCAACCACCAAGGCACCACCCAACAAGGCAAACCTACCAAGGCATCCATCAAGGCACCACCCAACAAGGCAAACCTACCAAGGCATCCATCAAGGCACCACCCAACAAGGCAAACCTACCAAGGCAACCACCAGGGCACCACCCACCCAAGGCACACCTACCAAGGCATCCATCAAGGCACCACCCAACAAGGCACACCTACCAAGGCATCCATCAAGGCAGCACCCAACAAGGCACACCTACCAAGGCAACCACCAAGGCACCACCCAACAAGGCACGACTACCAAGGCATCCACCAAGGCACTACCCAACAAGGCACACCTACCTAGGCAACCACCAAGGCACCATCCAACAAGGCACACCTACCAAGGCAGGCAACCACCAAGGCACCACCCACCAAGGCAAACCTACCAAGGGCACCACCTTAACAAGGCAAACCTACCAAGGCAACCAGGGCACCACCCACCAAGGCACCCTACCAAGGCAATCAAGGCAACGACAAGGCAAACCTACCAAGGCAACCACCAAGGCACCACCCAGGCACCACCCAACAAGGCACGACTACCAAGACACTACCAAGACAACCACCAGGCACCACCCAACAAGGCACGACTACCAAGGCAACCACCAAGGCACCACCCACCACCCATCAAGGCACACCTACCAAGGCAACCACCAAGGCACCACCCAACACCCAACAAGGCACACCTACCAAGGCAACCACCAAGGCACCCCAAAAGCCAATGAATGTCAAAGCAACCAGGACTCCCAAGAAACAGTTGAAGATTGAAGAATTGTGGGAGAACTCTCAACAAGTCTATTGAAGAAGCGGAGGGAGGTCAAGGGGCCAACCCTGCCAGCCCCGAAGAGATACCCCATGAAGGCTAACCTCAAGTACAGATGTCTGAGGGAGAGATGCTGCCTCTGACAATGCTATAGATGCCCGTCTTAACACAAACGGAAGAAGAGCAGACGGCTTCACAGACGGCTCCGCAGACGACTCCAGAGACGGCTTCAGAGATGGATGTTTTATGACGAAATTCATTTTCATCAGGGACAAATGGACTTTTTTGCGTTGTGCCACATGTAGATCTCATGATCACCACGAAATGGTGGTGAAATGATTTGTTGATGTTTACCGATAAATGCTTTGCATTGTACTACTCTTGTGTTGGGTCGTATGTCTTCGGGGATCACAGATCCTTGAGGTCATTTCCGGTGCAACCTGCATGGTGGTGAGACGTCTTTCAAGGTCAGGGACAATGTCATGGACAGATCTGGTGGATTCCATGGTCACCCCACTCACGTTACGTCAGCCATTTACAATGTCGATTGCAGGCCCTGCAGGGTCGGGTAAAACATCGTTTGTAAAAGTGTTCACGGAACATGTGCTTCAACCTGGGATCCTTGATTAATCCATGCATGAGGACCTGGAAGTTCTCACATCCAGGCTAGGGATTCCACTAACGTTTGTGCAAATCATGGGGGAATCCAACGCTCAGTTACCTGCAGGTGGTGGTGGTGGTGTGTGTGGGGTGGGGGTGGGGTTGGGGGTTGGGGGTGGGTGGGTTGGATGGGTGTGTAAGGCTGATGGTTTGCCTGCGCCACTTTGTTGACCATTTATGATTTGCTGGGAGATAACACAACAAGAAGAGGCTGTCATGGTTTACGAAAAAAGTCATCATCGCAACACGTCGGAGTACCAATCGAACTATTAGTTTAAAAGTGAGTGAGTGACTTTAGTTTTACGCCGCTTTTAGCAATATTCAAGCAGTATCACGACGGGGGACACCAGAAATGGGCTTCACACATTGTACCCATGTGGGGAATCGAACCCGAGTCTTCGGCGTGACGAGCGAACGCTTTAACCACTAGGCTACCCCACCGACCCCTCAACAATAGTTTAAAATGGATCACTTGGCCGAACAAGTCTTTCCAGGACAGACGGCCTTCCTTTTGGAAGCCTATGGGGATGCCTATGAGGGTGGCACCTTGGCTCCTTATTCCTATCAGTTTTTGGACTTGAAACCTACCACGGCCAAAGAGCACCGTGTACGCACACATCTAATTCACAATCCTACCACCCTTTACAATCCAAAGTGAAAACAGATAAATAGAGATGACCGTCTGCCCTCGGGTTCAGTTGACCCTGTGCTGCCATGGGACACAGACGGAAACAGGACAAGCCCCCAAAACGAGTCGTTGTCACAGGCTTGTTTAAACCCATCCGTACAGCTGTCCTGACCACCTGGGTCGTGATCCCACCGAACAACAATTGTATAAAAGTCTAAGCGCTCCTCCCCCTGCTCCTCTCCAAACACCTTCCTTAAAGCAGTGCTACCCAACAGCACCCACCATGGCCACCACATCTTTTGTCCCTGTCAGTAGGCACCTTCTCCTGTCCCTTCCCCCACTTCTTTCTCACCGTCTCCCCTCTCTCCCGCCATGATTCCATTTCAACCCTTGACCTAACGTCCTACCACCGGCACCGGCAACAAACGCACCAAGAACATCCAGTCATCAAATAACCCTAAGCCAAGACAGTGAAAAGGCTGCCTTCGTCTGAGAGCGTGGCTGTCAAAGAACGCCATCGGTTGTTGCAGTGATTTGCCATTACCCTGAGAAATCTGCGAGCAGGACGTGTTCCTTTGAAGACTCGGCATAAGTCCTGGCTGTTGAGGCACCAAGACATGTTGACCAAAATTTCTAATCCACACCTGCCCGTGGGTGAAAGTCTGAATTACCTGATACAACGCAGTGGAAGTGGCACCCTGACCTGCATATTGCTGCAGTGAACGCTGCCTACAGTCCTGCCTACAGCAACAGCAGCAGCTTCCACCTCCTCGCTGTCCGAAAAAGAAAGCAGCGGGCCGCCAGTCACCACCCACCAAGTGCACAGGAAAAGAAGAGAAAATAGGGCACTTTACCCTCAGTACCTGTTGCAGCATTGACCGGGATGGTGTTAAGAAGAAGTCTTCAAAAGCATTACCACCACTCCCTCCACCGACATTACCACCACACCCTCCACCGACATTATCACCACTCCCTCCACCGACACTACCACGACTCCCTCCACCGACACTACCACCACTCCCTCCACCACTCCCTCCACCGACATTACCACCACGCCCTCCACCGACATTACCACCACACCCTCCTACGACATTACCACCACTCCCTCCACCGACATTACCACCACACCTCTACCGACATTAACATCACTCCTCCACCGGACATTACCACCGACATCCCTCCACCACTCCACTCCACCGACATTACCACCACTCCCTCCACCGACATTACCACCACACCTCCCACCGACATTACCACCACTCCTCCACCTCCATTAACATCACCTCTCCACCGACATTACCACCAATTTCTCCACCGACATTACCACCACACCCTCCACCGACATTACCACCACTACCTCCACCGACATTAACATCACTCCCTCCACCGACATTACCACCGCCCCCTCCACCGACATTACCACCACTCCCTCCACCGACACTACCACCACTCCCTCCACCGACACTACCACCACTCCCTCCACCGACATTACCACCACACCCTCCACCGACATTACCACCACTCCTCCACCGACATTACCACCACACCCTCTACCGACATTTACATCACTCTCCACCGACATTACCACCGCCCTCCCACCGACATTACCACCACTTCTCCACCGACACTACCACCACACCACTCCACCACTCCTCCACCGACACTACCACCAATTTCTCCACCGACATTACCACCAATTCTCCACCGCCCCTCCACCGACACCGGTTACTACCACCACCACCACTCTCCACCGACATTACCACCACTTTCCACCAACACTAGTCATCCGCTTCCTTCCACCGACATTACCACCGCCCTCCACCGACATTACCACCGCACTCCACCACCCACCCTCCACTACCACCGCCCTCCCTCCACCGACATTACTACCACCACCTCCACTGGACATTACCACCGCCCTCCACCACCCTTCCACCACTCCACCGACACTACCACCACTCCCTCCACCGACATTACCACCGCCTCCCCACCTACGACACTACCACCGCCATCCCTCCACCGACATTACTACCACTTCCTCCACCGACATTACCACCACTCCCTCCACCGACATTACCACCACTTCTCCACCGACACTACCACCCGCTCCACCACCTCCACCGACACACTACCACCATTCCTCCCACCGACATTACCACCACTCCTCCACCGACATTACTACCGCTCCTCCACCACTCCTCCACCGACACTACCACCGCTCCTCCACCGACATTACCACCACTCCCTCCACCGACATTACCACCGCTCCCTCCACCACTCCCTCCACCGACGCTACCACCACTCCCTCCACCACTCCTCCACCGACATTTCCACCATTCCCTCTACCGACATTACCACCGCTCCCTCCACCGACACTACCACCGCTCCCTCCACCGACATTACCACCACTCCCTCCACCGACATTACCACCACACCCTCCACCGACATTACTACCACTCCCTCCACCGACATTACCACCACTCCCTCCACCACTCCCTCCACCGACATTACCACCACACCCTCCACCGACATTACCACCACACCCTCCACCGACATTACCACCACTCCCTCCACCGACAGTAACATCACTCCCTCCACCGACATTACCACCACCGGTCCCTCCCCGACACTACCACCATTCCCTCCACCGACATTACCACCATTCCCTCCACCGACATTACCACCACTCCCTCCACCGACATTACCACCACTCCTCCACCGACATTACCATCACTAGAGACACCCAACCACGTCCTGGTCAGTTCAATGGCAGCAGCAGGGACATCAAAAACATCATCATGCCTGAACGTTTGGAGCGTCACAAACAAACTAACTCTCTGTCATGTGTGCAGACGTTTTGTTGCGTCAGGCTGTTTTGAAATAGAATTCTGAACTGATTCCAGCCGTCAATGACTGTGTGGTGAATCTGTATGCAGACAACATCCCTATGACAGCACAGCATCGCCAACGTTTGTAGAAGCATGGGCAACTCATGCATACACTGATGAAATAGAACGTGTCTGTGTCCAAGAAACGAAAACTATTGTAGCAGAAAGGAAGTGGATTGGGTTACTTGTCTGCCCTGGCATCGGTGGTGGGTCCATTGGTGTCTGGACTGCTGGGTGGAAGGTCAGAAATTGGTGGAGCATCCAGGGTTGGGGTTAGTTGCATCCCCACCGCCCTCCCATGATGAAGCATGCACGGAACATGGTGATGATCTCAGAAGTGGTATGGAAAAGTCGGCAAGAAGAAAAAC